TGAGCGGGCCCAAGAATGGGCGGACATACATATAAAAAGACTATGACATCATGTTATTATGCAAAAGACGACGACGACGACGACGACGACGACGACGGCGACGACGGCGACGACGGCTTCGTTCTGAGTGGAGCAAACGAAGCAGCAGCAGCTTCCAAGCTCACTCTCTCTCCCTCTCTTTCTGCATCTTTAGCTCTCTGCAGCTTTAGTGTGTCAGCTACTGCTCTCTCTCTCTCTCTCGCCCTCTCAGTCTCCCTCGCTTTTGTATACCAGTTCTTCTCAATACTATCTATCGTTTATAGCTTAACTCTTCCCCTTCCTCTCCCTCTCCCTCTCTCCCTCCCTCTCTCTCGCCCTCTGTGCCTCGATCTGCTCTCTCTCTCTCTCTCTCGATCCGTCGTAAGCCGCAGCCGCTTTCGGCGCTTAGATGATTAATATACTGTTTGTCTGCTCACTCCCACCAATGCCCGCCCCTCGCTCTCCCTCTCCCTCGCCCTCTCTGATGATTAATGCCTAATTGCCAATTGAATGTCAATAACAGTAATAAATAGAAACATGTTAACTCCTTCAATATGCAAATCGTGCGACTGCAGCGAGTGACACAGACAGATTATTCATTCGCTAATACGTTCGATCATCGCGCGTTTGCCGTTGCGCATTTTGCAACACTGACAACACGTTTATTATCCGATCTCGTATGACAATCAAATATTGCAAATATTGGTAAAGTGGGCGAGTCTCTGACACTTTTCACTAATGAGCTCTATGATCGTGATTGATTGGTTATGGAGTTGTGCGTTTACCAACACTGCCGGTAATGTTCAGACAGGCATCATGCGTTTCTACAGCCAGAGCTCCATTACACACGAACCTATAAATTAAATATAAATTAAACTGTTTCGTTTTTCTACTTTAACTTGAATAAACGAGATGTTTCGAGTCAACTTTAGAAACAGCTAAGGCTATGAGAGTTGAGGTTCAAATGCCACACTGAAGTATAAACTTTTGTCTTCACTCAAGAGCTCTGGCAATTAGTAGTTCCATTCACTCATCATGCTCGATCTTGGAATGAGGATCTCGGAATATACCCCGGGTATATTCGTTTTGTTGTTCTTACCTTTTTATCCGTCTTTCTGTCCGTCCGTCTCCCTTTCTGCCCCGTCCTTTCGTCTAAGGGCTCATCTTTTTATCTGTCTATCCGTCTTGTTGCCTGTCTGTCCGTCTGTACGTATCATTTTTGTCAGACTATCCGTCCGTTTGCTTGTCTGTCCGTCCGTACCATCTTTTGCCTGTCTGTCTGACTATCCGTTCCTCTGTCAATCTGTCCGTCCGACTGTTCGATCAGTCCGTCTATCGATTTACTCATTCTGACGCTAGTCCATTGAAGTGTTCAGGTTTTCTCGGCTCCTCCAATAGGATATATAGAATCACAAGCCACGCCCCGCTGCGCCAAAATCGAATCTTCCTCAAGCCCCTCGGCGCACCCAGAGGCCAAAGCGAATCAGTTCACTTGATAAACATTATTATCGGACGATCTCAAGTGGGAAATAGCTCGCGTAGACTAGATTAGGCGAGTAACTATTGTGGGAGATATTGAATGAGCAAATGGGCAGGAAATAGAAACCAAGGATCAGTTGGGGGGAGTGCGCGATGGGCGGGGCAGTCGAAGGTGTGATTATGAGTGCTTAACTGTGTATGTGCATGGGATGCGATAAGCAGGTGTCAAAGAATGGGCTACACTGTCCAACACGATCGAGCGAGTCAAGCCAAATGATAAATTATAGTCTTTAATCGTAGAAAATTGCCGCACATAAATAACAAAACGCATTATCATTGAACGTACTATTAGCAATCACAGTGACAAGCGACACACACACACACACACACACACAAACACACAGACACACCTACACCCCCATATATTTATATACATATGTATATTTGCAACTAGTGTATTTTTAGCCGTGCGTTAAGTGAACAATTATGCCAAAGCTCCCTCTATCTCTCACCCTCTCTCACCCTCTCTCTCTCTCTCTCTCTCGCTCTCTCTTGTCACCAACACAAGTGCAGGCAGATTGATAAATGGGCTTTGTCTTTGGCTCGAGATTAGCATTCGCCAGGGAACAGTCGAACTGTCCGCTCCGTCCGATCGGCTCGAGCCGTCGACTCGCCGTCTGCAGTGCTGCCTGCTCATGACTCAGCTGAAGGTCATTACATGTGGGCGCAGGGGCGTGGCATGCCACTATCTAGCGAATGTGTTTGCCACATGTCCAAGCACACATTCCAGCAAGTCAGCTTGGCTTTAGATAAATGTAGACATTTTGTTCTTTTCTTCTAGAAAATAATTAAAAAAAAAAATATATATATATATTTATAAGTTATGTACATTTGTATATATATATATATATATATTAAATTTAATAAAAAAGTGCTTAATTATCATTAAATAAATTAAACATAATCAATTAGGCTTTAAAGGCTGATTAAATGTTTTTATTATTATTATTTATTTATTAGATAATATAAAAAATATAAATCTAAAAATTATTAAACGTGCTAGCTACGAGGGATAAATGTTTTTGTTTTATGCCATAATTATATATAAATAAATAGGTTTTAGATGAAAAATTAATTTATACATGTATTAATATTTTGTAACAAAAAAAATAAATAAATAAATAAATAAAAATAAATTTAAAAAAATGTATATAAATATTTTTAAAAGTATACATTTTGAACACATAAAAAAATAAAAATAAAATGAAAAATTATGTATATTTAAAAATATATATATGATGCCTTATCAATTAAGCAAAGCAAACGAAAAAAAAAATAAAATAAAAATAAATAAAAAATAAATAAAATAAAATAAAATAAAAAATAAATTACAGAATTATATTTAAAAAAAATTTATCCCTAACAATTAATTTAAGCAATTAAAAATATAATACTATATATAAATAATAGACCAAATTATAAATTTAATATAAATATCTATTTAGCAATTAATTGCACCAACTACAAATGAATACAAAAATATAATAAAATATAAATAATACACAAAATTATATATTGAATATAAATTTTCTATTTTACCAATGGATTAAACCAACTACAAGTTAAGTGAGCAATAATTAATCCTGCGAGCTTCATATAAAGTCAAGGATTAGCCTTCCGATCATATCATATATGTACATACAGAACAGCAGGGCAAATAGACGAACATATAGATGAGAAAGTAGAATTTATACATATGTAATATAGCTGTTCAATCAACTAACTTAGCATATCATCTAAAGTTTGCTTGACAGTTAAGCTGTTATATTATGATTTCAATATAAGGAGAGTTCAGTCTCGTACTGAAAGAGTCTGGCAATAAGTTATTTAGGTTATGTTTACATCCCAGATACGCACTTTGATTATGCATAATGTACTAAATGCATATATTTAACGCAAGCTGCAATAATATGCAACACACACACACACACACACACACACACACCTGCACATATGTATGTATATTTGTAATGGCAACAAGTTCAGGTGCATGACGCGGCATTAGCTGAGGCATTGCAACATTTGTCGCAGCAAATGGGATGTGACGGCCATGTTGATTGGGCGGCAGGTGGCAGGCGGGATGGGTCGCAGCTGATATGCAGGCTGCAAGCTATTTGCTGCTGGCTTTTTGTTGTTTGTTGTTTGACAGAAACGAATGCGCATTTCGCGCACTTTGGCCGTCAATCATTGGCATTATTAATAATAATAATAATATTATTATTATTTATTATTATCGCGGCATTCTATCAGTCAGTCAATCAAGGTGCGGCCGCTGCGCAAGTGTTGGCCGTTGGCTAAGGTCAGCATTGGCCAGCGTTGCGTATGAGTAATGCTGGTCGGCAATCGCAAAACGCAAATTGATCTTGCGCCACTGTGCGGCCACAACGCCCACGACAACCATAGCATATACTATTAGCTAAACAAAGCAAAAAACTGCAATATGAATTCAATTCAAAACTCAAATTCAAATCGATTTGGCCGCAGGTCAAAGCTAAGTAAAGCTGCCGCCGCCATTTTGTTTCCAAGGCGCGGGCTCTATCTCTATCTCTGTCTCTGTCTCCGGCTCTGGCTTGGCTGACGCATAGAGGAATATGCGCGGCTTAAAAAAGATTTAGTATCTAGAAACGCTTTAATATTGCACATGACTAATTGGCAATCAATCAAGTTTCGCTGCTTCTTTCGGCCATTACTAAGCGAATGCAGCAAAGCCCGAGAGCAAAACAGAAAAAAAAACCTAAAACAAAACACAAATTCACAACACGAGATATACGAAAATAACATTAAAAAATCAAGTATTTACATAACGGAGCATTGTTGATTAGTCATGTTGTTGCGGTTGATGTTTGTGCATATATGATTGATTTCGCTTTTAGTATTTTTATTTTCTATTTTAGCTTTATTCACAATCTATTTTTGTAATTTACGCAATTTGTAATTTTTCTAAATTCAAATTAAATGCACGTCCAAATAAGTTGCCAGACTTTGAAAAGCAGCAACATGCGGATTGCAAGAAAATTCAATCAAAACTTTTCATAGCCATCGTTGAGATAATGAGAAATAAATTTTCGATGAGCAATGCCCTAAAAAATTAGGATAGAATTAAACGATAGGAACTTTTCTTTGAATTTATGCAGCTTAGTTTTTGATTTCAAATAAGTGCGCAATCATAAGGCTGCCAGACTGTCAGAAACAGAAATGTGCAACATGCACTGCCTTTCAAGTTGGCGCAAAACTGCGCTCAGACGATATAAAGCACATGCAATGTTGCCTATTAAACAGAATGCTCAAAAGCTTCATGCAAATATAAAAAAAATTAATATACTTACGTGTATTGAGCGGTAAAAATTTTGAAATTTCAAATAAATGAGCTGCCAGACTGTCAGAAGTAGCAGCGCTCGTGTCATGCAGCCAACTTCAAGTGAGCACAAAACTGCGCGCAGCCAACATAAGGCGAACGCAAAATTGCTCCTCGCCAAACAACGCCTACAAATTTGGCGCCACAAGATTCGTTGCGGATGATTAAATTAAATTAAATTTGTGCTGCCAGCTGTGATCATGTATTCGCCGCGCAAGTCGCTGTCGACGCCAGCAGCGCATGAGTTTGGATTTCCCTACACTCCGTACGAGATACAAGAGCAGCTGATGCAGCAACTGTTCCAGGTGCTGGAGCACAAGCAAATCGGAATTTTCGAAAGTCCTACAGGTACTGGAAAGTCGCTGACGCTCACCTGTGGCGCCCTCACCTGGCTGCGACAACATGAGCAGCTGGTGCGTACCGAGCTGCTGCAGCGCATCGATGAAGTGCAGACGCAACTGAAGCAGCTGCAAATGGAGAGTGCCCAGGCGGAGGATTGGATAACAGCGCAAAGCAACACGCGAACGCAGCGCCTGGAGCTGGAACAGCTGCATCGGCTGCGCGAGCTGCTACAGCAAAAGGAGCAAGAACTGGAGCAGATCAAGCATCGCAAGAAGCAGCAAAAGGAGCAACATAGACCGGCCAGACGAGCAAGCGACCTGAAGGAAACTCCCGTTGAGGAGCAGGAGGAGCTCAACTCGGATGAAGAGCTGGATAACGTAGAGAGTGTGTCAGATGAGCAGCCAGCAGAGCTGCAATCGGAACGTTTCCGGGATGTGCAAATCTTCTTCTGCAGCCGCACGCACTCTCAGCTCTCGCAGATCGTGGCTGAACTGCGCAAGACACCGCATGGACAAAGCGTGCGCTGCATTGCGCTCGGCTCACGGCAGCAGCTGTGCATCAATGCGCAGGTGCGCAAGCTGTCCAACATTGGCCTCATCAACGAACGCTGCCTGGACATGGCGCAGTCCAAGATCAGCGCCAATGCCGTCTCCAAATCCCGCCAGACGCTCAGCCGTTGCGCCTACAAGAGCTCCGCCCAGCTGCAACGGCTCAGCGATGCGGCGCTTTGCGAGCCGCTCGACATCGAGGAGCTCGTCGCGGAGGGCTCCACCCATGGCGGCTGTCCCTACTATGCCACGCGTGCCGCCCAGTCGCAGGCCCAGCTGCTGCTGCTGCCGTATCCAATGCTGCTGCAGCGCAGCGCACGCCAGCAGCTGGGCCTCGATCTGCGCGGCGCCATCATCATTGTGGACGAGGCGCACAACCTGCTGGACACCATTGCCCAGCTGCATAGCAGCGAGCTGAGCCTGGCCCAGCTCCAGCTGGCCAAGCAGCAGCTGTCTGGGTACAAGCAGCGCTACGCCCGGCGCCTGAGCAGCGCCAATCTGTTGCGGATCAATCAGCTGCTGTATGTCGTGCGCCGGCTGCTGCAGCTGCTCGAGGCAGGCGGAGAGCCGCGCATGCTGCGCACCTACGAGCTGAGCGCCGAGGGCGACTTCTTCAACATTGACCTGCATGAGCTGCTGGAGTTCTGTGCGCGCACGCGCCTTGCCCAGAAGATGCAGAGCTTTGGCCGGCAGCAGCAGCGCGAGCCGCAGCCCAGCGAGAACCGGCCGCCGCCCACGCAGCAGCTGCTCCAGCGCCTGGCCGCCCAGCACGAGCAGCACTGCCAGACGCTGGGCAAAGGCAAGCGCAAGGCGGCCGATGAGAAAGCGGATGACAAAGCGAAGCAGCCGCCACAGTCACAGCCCGCAGCTCAGACGCCAGCTATGCCCTCGCCCTTTCGACCACTGCTCGCATTCCTGGAGACGCTCACCAGCAATGCCGCCGACGGCCGTGTGCTGCTCAATCCGGAGACTGCCACACTCAAGTATTTGCTACTCAATCCTGCCGAGCACTTTGCAGACATTGTCAAGGAGGCGCGCGCTGTGAGTAACTGATCTCCAATTTATATCATTTCATTTTTCATTTGTCATTTGCCTTGCAGCTCATCATAGCGGGCGGCACCATGCGACCCACCCAGGAGCTGACGGAGCAGCTCTTTGCCCATTGCCCAGAGCGTGTGGTTGAGCGCTTCTATGATCATGTCGTGCCAGCGGATGCTGTGCTCCCATTCATCCTGCCCACTGGACCAACGGGCGCCAGGCTCTGTTTCAGCTATGCCGAACGCAGCAGCCCAGCCATGGTATGGATTGGACATGGAAATAGATATAGATATAGATATAGATATAGATATAGATATAGATATAGATATAG